TACCTGGCAGCGGAGAATGATAGGTAGATGGGTGAGATAAGGGCGCGTGGGCGGGCAATTGTCCTTATGCTGTGGCCCACGTGGTTATGGCCTGTCCTATGCGTGTGGATGGGGGGGGGGGGGGGCAGGTGCGTGTGGACGAAAAGTGCATTGTCTCCCGCGTGATAATACCCGGCCCTAAACTGCTTTCAAAACAGAGATTTTTGTACCTGTCTCTCTTAATGGGATTTTTATTTGCACGGTTTTGGTGCGATTATTTTGAGGTCTCTAGTTGGCGTTTTTATTATAGTGTTGTGGTTGATTAGAAAGCGATTTCGCATTGGCTTTCTGTCAGAAGGATGAATATGTTTTGGGAGATTTTATTACACACGTTAATAAAGCTACGTACACACGCCCATACACGAACACACACACAGATTTCATATATATAAACATACACACACATACACACAAACATACACTCACAAACATATTGATACATTTTATACATATTTATTCATTTTTTTATTTATAAACATTCATATACACAAACATGTATACATACATACATGTAAATACTTATGCAGACGCACACAAACGTATGTAATTGCATATATCTGTATCTATCTATGTATTCTTATATACATGCACACGCACATACATATACATACATACATACATATAGATATGATATATTTATATGAATATATATGTAATTTATATATATTATATATAATATATATATATATATATATATAATATATACACACAGACAAATACATATATATCTGTGTGTGCGTTCGTGTGTATGCGGGCGTGTGTACGTAGCTTTTATCAACGTGTGTAATAAAATCTCCCAAACATATTCATCCTTCTGACAGAAGCCAATGCGAAATCGCTTTCTAATCACCACAACACTATAATAAAAACGCCAACTAGAGACCTCAAAATAATCGCACCAAAAACCGTGCAAATAAAATCCCATTAAGAGAGACAGGTACAAAAATCTCTGTTTTGAAAGCAGTTTAGGGCCGGGTATTATCACGCGGGAGACAATGCACTGTCGCGTGTGTGTGTGTGTCTGTGTATATATATATATATATATATATATATATATATTATATATATTATATATATAATATATATATATTATATTTGTGTGTTGTGTGTTTATATATATATACATATATATGTTTACACACACACACACACACACACACACACACACACACACACACACACACATATATATATATATTATATATATATATATATAGAGAGAGAGAGAGAGAGAGAGAGAGAGAGAGAGAGAGAAGAGAGAGAGAGAGAGAGAGAGAGAGAAGAGAGAGAGAGAGAGAGAGAGAGAGAGAGAGAGAGAGAGAGAGAGAGAGAGAGAGAGAGAGAGAAGCAGGAGAGAGCCGAGAGCAGGAGAGCCGAGCGAGAGCCGATTTAGAGCCAAGCAGCAGCGAGAGAGACCGCAGGACGCGACGAGCAGGAGAGCCGAGCGAGAGAGCCGATTTTAGAGCCAGTAGGAGAGCCGAGCGAGATTTGAGCGTTTCCTAAGTAGCGAGAGCGGATGAGCGCCGAATTGAGCAGAGCGCGTCCGCCAAGATCTGCTCCTCCTCGGTAGCGCCGCATCTGCCAAGGGGATGATGACAGACGAGATAACCACCTTGTTTGGGTCGTTTATTAGTCCCCGGCGAGAGGCTAGGTCGTGTGAGGTTACGACCACAACATCGTTACTCAATTATGGAAATGCTGATGCTGAAGGAAGGGTTTGGGGGGAGGGGTAGGGTGGGGGAGGAGGTTATGGTCTTCCCTACAACCTCCCGGCACTCGAGGTCCTTACCCAGGTTGTAGAGAGGTGTCCCGGCATGACCACAACACCTTGTTCAATTATGGAAACGGGGCTGGACACCGTGTTTACTTACCGAGGGTTTGTGGCGGCCGAGATTTTAATTATTGGAAGGCTCCCGCTGTGTTCGTTTCCCGATTCGTGTGTTTGTTTGTTTGTTTGTACGTGGGGGATGTCTACTTGTCTGTGTGTGTCTCTCTAACTGTTTTTTATTGATGTCTGTCTACCTGTTTGAGCGTTTGTATCGACTGCATATGCATCTATCTATATTTGTAATATTTGACTGGTCTTTTTCTTTTGAAAATGGTATATATTATAAAGTATATACTGTATATTTGAATAACACAACACATTCTCTTGGAATATATCTATATTTTTTGCATTTACATGGTTCATGAGTATATTTAGCTGTTAATTATTCTTGGTTTATTGTCAGTTACAGAATTTCTTTAACCTCAAGATGACCGCTGGTTAACGCCTGGTTCAAAATTTTGACATTACAAAATTTAATCCATTACATAACTATTTATACATTTGTTTACATCCTATAAATACTTTTGGCTTTTTCTTTGTCTTATAAATTCGTTTTTATTTGATGTTATAAGAGTATGCTGTACATCTGGAACATTTTTTTAATTATATTTCTTATATATGGATTTATTTTCCTTATAGTTGCGTCTGTAGTTTGGTTTCATTTTGGATTTAGAAGATCCAAATTTTCTTAACCCTATTATGCCGGTTTGCAAAAACCTGTTCTTTTCATCACAGTAATTCCAACTAACTTATGCCTCCCTTCCCTTTGATACTAAATAGCATTATATGAAATTTAAATACATCGGTTAATATTCCCATTTTCAATATCTTTTATTTAACGTTCTTGCCTTTAATTATCGAAAAAATTGTGCCGCCTCTACATCTAAGGTCACTGGCGGCCTATACAAAATATAGCAATAGGGCGAGACTCGGGCAAGGAAAGGTCATGCACCATCGTGACAAAGTATTCTGGCAAAAAGGTAAAAGATGAATTAACAGTTATGGCAAAAACGTAAAAGATGAATTAACAATTAGGACAAAAGGTAAAAGGAACAGCTATGGCAAAAAGGTAAAAGAGAACCAGTTATGGCAAAAAGGTAAAAGAATTAACAGTTATGGCAAAAGGTAAAAGATGAATTAACAGTTATGGCAAAAAGGTAAAACATGAATTAACAGTTATGGCAAAAAAGTAAAAGATGAATTAACAATTAGGACAAAATATGTTAGATAAAGCACGTACAGAGCGCTGTAGGTTGATATGGTAGTGAAGAGGATAAAGAGGGAAAGGCAGAGTAGGAAGGCCGTTCTGGACTGACACAAAGCCAGCCTTTCACCCTTTCAGCACGGCTCTCATACTTTAGGATGGTTAATGGTTAAAATAAAGAATAAATGTGCTAGACATCTAAGGTCATATAGCACTATGTGAAAGTATATTAAAGGAGGGTCAATGGTTAATGGTTAAAAGCAAAAATAAATGTGCTAGACATCCAAGGTCGTATAGCACTAGGAAAGTATATTCAAGGAAGGAAGGGTGAATGATATGCGTCAACTATCTAGAGTGATCTTTCACACTTTAGAATGTGGTCAGGATATGAAGAGAAGGAAAAAGAAAGGCAGAGAAGAAACGACCATGCAAAATTAATTGAGGCGAGGGCTGAGGTCCGAGGCAGAGGCGATCACCCACATTGAGCCTCGGACTCCTAACCCCCCCCCCCCACAAGACAACAACGGGCATGGCATAGCGGTGTTCTTGTCCATTTCCTCCTCTATCGGTTCAAATTCTGTGGTGTTGCATGTGTGTCTCTTATAAACATTCCTTTATCATTTTGTGCGTTTAATGTTTTCATAGTAATTATATTTTCATTTCAATCACCATCTACTAAGTATTTGTCTTCTTTTCTATTGTCACTGATTAGTGGTCGCCGTAATTTACCAAAATTGTTCCTCTAAATCTAATGTAACCAAACCTTTCGTTAAGCAAAAACAAGACTAGGATATATTAAAGATAACATTCAATCAATTTAGTGTTCCTACTATCATATTTATATTATCCACTGTTCAGGGATATTAAAACATTCTTTTAATTTTCAAATTTTGCCATAATTATCATCCAAAGAAATGTCAACTAAAAAAGGGATTTCTTTGCCAAACGCACGTCATGGTGGTCATAGCATGTTAATTTTGAATTATGTAAATAAAAATTTGATTTGTTTGATTTACATGTCAGTCTCTAAACGAGAAAGAAAAGAAATATAAAAGAAATGAGAAAATAATGAAATGATAGCCTGCTTACACTTCCAAGGGAGATTCATAATGGGATAACCATGTTATGTTTAATACTAAAAGTAAACGCTTAAATAACATTAACATCTACACTAAAATTTCGTATAAAAAAATCTTATTAAAGCATAACAAGCACCAGACAAATAAAAAATGTCTAGAGAAAACAGATAACATATAGTGATGCAGAACTGAGCTTTATAACATTTTAGCATAGGATCCAAAAGAAATGTTCTTTTTCACCTATTAATGCACCATTTTTCCGACATAAAAATCTTTGCTAGCTTGGTCTCCCAATCTCATTTTCTGAGTTGGTTTGATCTCGCTTTCTACGCTGGACTGACTTCAATCTCGTCTTCTTTGTTGGATTGGTCTCAACCTTGCTTTCTTTACTGGTTTGTCCTCAAGCATCCTTTCTTTGCGAGCTTGGTTTCAAACTTCCTTTACCGGTTTGGTTTCAAACTTTCTGTACCGTCTTGCTTTCAGTCTCGCTTTCTGAGTTGGCTCGCTCTCAACCTCGGCTTCCTCACAGCCTTCTGCGTCGAACTGCCCCCGCCGGCAACCTCCCCAACCGACCCCGAAGACCCGTCCTTAAATCGGGTCTTCGACGAAGAACCTCTGCCGGCGCCCTTCGTCTCAAAGGACTCGAGGGAGTGGCTGCTGATGGCATCGACGAGGGAGAGAAAGTGCTGCTGCATTCGGGCGGCGTGGTCCTCCAGGCGACGGCGGGCGCGCTTGGGGGCCTTCTCGCCGCCCACTGCGTCGCCGGCTCCTTCGGGCGCAGGTCCTCCTCTGCCTGTGGTTGTGGACACCACCTCGCTGCCGTCTTCGTGATACTGTGAAGAGAAGGCGGGTGGGTGAGTTTTAAACGTTTTAAACGTTTGTGAGACTATACGATATAATGTGGAGAGGTGGGGAAAAGAGGAGAGGAAGAGAGAGAGAGAGAGAGAGAGAGAGAGAGAGAGAGAGAGAGAGAGAGAGAGAGAGAGAGAGAGAGAGAGAGAGAGAGAGAGAGAGAGAGAGAGAGAGAGAGAGAGAGAGAGAGAGAGAGAGAGAGAGAGAGAGAGAGAGAGAGAGAGAGAGAGAGAGAGAGAGAGAGAGAGGAGGGGGAGGGAGGGACAGTGAGAGGAGGAGGAGGAGGAGGGAGGAGAGGAGGGAGGGGAGGGAGAGGGAGAGGGAGAGAGAGGGAGAGGGAGAGGGAGAGAGAGGGAGGAGGAGGAGGAGAGAGAGGAGAGAGGAGGAGAGGGAGGAGGAGGAAGGAGGAGGAGGAGGAGGAGAGGGAGGAGGAGGAGGAGAGGAGAGGGAAAGGGACAGTGAGAGGGAGGAGGAGGAAGAGGAAGAAGGAGGGGGAGAAAAAAGGAAGGTGGTGAGGGAGGAAGAGGAAGGAGGAGGAGAAAGAGGAAGAGGGAGAGGGGAAAGAAGGTCGAGGAAGGGGGGTGAGGAAAGTGGAGGGAGAGGGAAAGGAGAGGGGAGAGGAAAGGGAAAGGGGAAGAGGGAGGGAGGGAGAGGGAGAGGGAGGAGAGAGAGAGAAAATGAGAACCAAACATCGCCTTACCTCCTCCTTATCAACACATCTTGGCCTCTTGTTAGTCTTGGCAGCCAGTGGAGGAGGAAGAGGAGGTCCTCGCAAGGGATGAAGTCGAGGAAGAGGAAGATTAGGAGGCTGGGGAAAGGGAACGGACTGAGTAGGCTGCAGGACCCGAGAAAATGCCGAGTTTCCCTGCAGGCCGTCCGCCAAAGGACCCTGAATCCCGACGTGTGAAGGCGCGGCTCGACTCGCGGCTGGGGCTTCGACGAGACTGCCAGCGCCCGGAGACGTGTTCGGGACGTGTTTGGCCCCGCCGTCCGGACGGGGGAGAATCGGCCTGAAAGCGGACGACCACGATTCTCCTGCAGAAGGGAGGAGAATGGAATCCCCCGCGACATTGCCGTTAATGGAGGGCGGGGCGGCGGCGCGGGGGTCGCAGAAGGAGACTGGCTTGGATTCCGGCAGGAGGGAAGGAAGGCGGTGGGTCGGCCTCTGCGTCGTGGGCTGTATGGCCTTCGAAGGTCGGATCTGGAAGGAAACACGGTAATGAGGTATGGACACTACATCATAGTCCTTGCGTTACTACGTATCTTGGAGGTTTCAAAGGTTTTAGTTCACATGAGGATGGCTTCAACGGGGATTTTGGTGAGTGGAATATAGCTGGATAACAAGCAGGCTTGACTTTATGGATGGGATTGGGAATAGAAGGGAGTGGGGTGATTGAGGCATGAAGATAAATGCTTAGAAATTAGAGATATTTGCCGGCATGAAGGAATAATATGCTACACACACAATAGGTATACATGGAATAGAGGAATAGATTACGAATTGGAAGTAAGAAAAACTCGAAAGAAGTAAAGAGGAAGAGTAGATAATCAGAGGGTAAAAAGAAATGAGGAGAGATGAGAGAAGAAAAGGAGAGTAAGAAAAAGAGGTACACAAAATCAGAAAAGAGTAAAGAGAAGATAAATAATAAATAGAAGTAAAGTAGCAGTATGAATTCAGACGAAAAAAAGGGTGATAAATAATTTTGAAATAACTATAGATTAAACCAACGTAATACAGAAAAAACCTGGACAAGACAAGGCAAAATGAAAATGCTGAGTAGACAAGCTTGATTTTAAACCACGGGATAGAGTTCGTACTGATAAAAAATGAGGCAGGGACTTGCAGTAAACATCAGAATAGGAGGAGAATGAGACGGCACAATCACACCACGAGATGAAGGAAGACGATAATCGAGCACAGAGACAGCTGTTGTTTAAGGAAAAGGACGACATGAGGTTAAGGTGACATGAGCTTAAGAAAGTGAGAGAGAGATGTGAGTGGGATTGGCGCTTACGGGAGATTGTCACTGATAGACACCTATGGATGGAGCAGATTAAGACTCCTTCTCATGTCCTGATTTCGCTTGTCATACACCATTACTGATAAGGATATTTTCAGTACATATACTTAACATCTTTAAAAATATATATCTTAATGATTTCATTTCACTTTATCGCTTCCCAGATTCACTTTATACTTAAATTTACCTATATCTAGAATTTTAAAAATATATATTTTGATTAATGCTTTACACTTTTTTCTCTCTTTCAACTTTTTTCTCTCCCTTAAAGATACTCAGCGAA